GCAACAGTAAGAGACAACGCGTGTGATTGGCAGCAGGGCAGAGGTTTACCTCTGCCTGCATTTGTGAGTAGGGTCTCTACTGTTGTTTACTGGGTGCAGCTGGATTGGGAGAGGGTCATCATTGCCATGAGCCAGGGCCGCTTCTGGGACCATTGTTCTGGCCCCTATTTGTTATGTTGCAGTACACCGACGCAAGGGGAGCTGTGGCGGTGGTCACATCATGGATTCGGGTGCAGAACGCAAACCGGGCTGGGAAGTGATGGGCCAGCGGAAGGACAAGAAGATGGGTGGCTCTTTCTTGTCTGCTGAAGACGGGGCTGGCATGGACTCTGCTCTAAAGGAGGAATTCCTGGCCTGCTGATGAACCCATAATGAAGGGTGTTTTTATTTGTGCTCCCTGGCCTAGTAGTAAACTGTTTCTGATCAGACCTGCTTCCTCTCTGTGCCCGTGGTATCTGACTTGCTTGCTCCCCCTTGTATTTTAAAGAATCTTTCTTTTTAGCGTGACATTCTGGCGCGACCGCTTTAGTGTTCGCAGCGTGCTACATAGTTGTTGTTTTAAACTTGAGTATGAACTTATACAAAATGCAGCAAGATATTTAAAAAACAGTTTTGTTGATTAAAAAACACTATATTGGATTCACATCGGTATCGGCAGATATCCAAATTTATGATATCGGTATCGGACATAAAAAAGTGGTATCGTGCCATCTCTAGTTAATACAGAACTACATTGGAAAACCGAGGAACAGAACTATGAACAGCACACTGCCGGCTATGTCAGGGACCTGGGTCTGAGGGACCCAGGATCCATGAGCAGTTGGTGATTTATATTATAATATATCACACTGTGCTGCTGTTCCTGTTGTCCATGCTTGTGTATATAGGCAAGTGCGGTTGTGACAGGCACTTTCAGGCGTGGTGGGTGTGGCCCTGCCAGGTGACTGGCCACACCTGAAGATTGAGGGCACTAGGGAGCGGACACACGGAGCACAGACACTTGGAGAATACACGGAGTGGGAGTCAGGGATGCACATGGATTCATTGTTGTGTGGATTGTCTTTACGTCACTGTAAATAAACACACTGCATTCATCAAAGAGTCCATCGTTTCGGTCCTCCATCCTCACATCCCCACGGTCCACCACGTAGACCGTGACAGGCTACGAGGGAGATCATGACAATGATCATAAGAAGACGCAGACACTAAATATAACAGGGAAACACGGCAAAGAGGAAACACCGCTGGCACTAATTACACTGACAAAACAGGCAAGAGCAAAACAGAACATGATCCACACCAGACAGAACAGACAAATGTACAGGGTGGGCCATTTATATGGATACACCGTAATAAAATGGTTGGTGATATTAAAGTCCTGTTTGTGGCACATTAGTATATGTGAGGGGGCAAACTCCTCAAGATGGGTGGTGACCATGGTGGCCATTTAGAAATCGGCCATCTTGTGTACAACTTTTGTTTTTTCAATAGGAAGAGGACCATGTGACACATCAAACTTATTGGTAATGTCACAAGAAAAACAATGGTGTGCTTGGTTTCAACGTAACATCATGGCTCTCGTCACTAAGTATTTAAGTCAATACCTGATATAATATCAAAATATGCAATTGAAAATTTATTTTTAAATATTTTTTAAGTGATTAAAATCGTGTCCAGAGTTTTTGTCAACACCGTGAGATTTTTTTAAAAGTACAAAAAAATCAGGAATTATTGTGGGTAGTGTAGGAGTGTTTAGCTTATTTTAGAGTTTAGAAATGTGTTAACATAGAATGTAGAACTATTGTAGAGACATTGACACTGCCCTCAATATAATAAAGGCTTCACTGTGTCGTGAACTTAGGAGTAGATTGTAGGAGACCCCTCCCCCACTTGAACTGTGAAAGTAAAACAGAGAGGAGTTAATGCTGAGTGGAAATTGATTACGTCGTTGAAGAGAAATTTTTAAGCCATGTTTCCGAAGTAAGAGCCGACGGATGGTCTGGATATACCAAATATAACGTCTCAGAACACTCCAGCTCACAGGTTAGTCTGCTCCAAGCATTCCCACAAAGGTCAGAGTTTTGTAGTAGTTAATACGTCATTTTTCATAACATAATTGGTGATATAGGTTACAAGCAAGTCTGGCGCTGAACAGAAATTGTCGCGCTATGCTCCTTTGTTTATTGTGCATAAATAGTGAATTGTCCTGACACAATATTGCTGTTTCGCTTCTGTTATTAATGGTACATTGACAAAAACATATACTTTTATTCACAGGATAAAACAGGTTTTTTGTATCACTAATTGCCCAGTACGATTACAGCATACAGATTATTGTCACTGCTACATTTCTTGATAACCAGAAATTATTTCCACTACTAATTAATTACCGTTGAGCTCAAAGGTTATTAATAAACGGTTAATGAATGTGTATTTATGAGACGATTTGTGAGACTGGTAAACTTACTTGTTCGTACGATGGTCTTTCGTTCTACACGGTGCATTTCAAGGTCCTGTACCCATCCGTCGGTAAACTGTACCTGGGCTTGTTGCAGTGACCTGAAGTTACTAAACTTCATGAGTGTATGCACTCACTCCAAGAACCGTATAATTATAAATATGAGCGTGGTGAAAGTTGGGCAGCACGCTAACGTCTTTTGTCCACTCTGTGTGCTCGTAAGGGTCTGACCCTTTCACTGTTTGATTTTTTCCTCGTATCTTTTCTTTGATCTTTTCGTCAAGTCTGTCTTTGTACGGACCGGCATTGTTCTCCTTCTTGTTTTGTACATTCCTTTTTTGGCGGCAAAGAAAAACAAGAAGGTATTGGAACCGGAGAATGAACGTTTTGCGGTGCTGCAAATGCTTGCATTTGATGCGGTACTTGGATTGTTTTGCCACGAGTTCCCGGCATGCAATGCGCGAAAATCACGTGATTGCTAAACAAGGGGGCGGGGGCTTCCGTCGGCTGTAATTGGTCCAGCCCAGAGTCGATCATGACCAATTGGCCAATCCAACACCTTTCATTATATATACCCTTCCTAAAAAAAAAAAAATAAAAATCCATCGGCCCATAAAAACAAAAAATCGCCAGCGGCCCACCGGGCAAATGCCCGGTATGCCCGATGGCCAGTCCAGCTATGGTTGTAACACAGAGTTTTATTAGAAAGGTCTGCAATAAATGAAATAAAAACAAACAAATTGTCACAGCAGTGACCTCGTGGCATGTGTATCAAACAGGAAGTGGTACAGGGGTCCTCAGAGTGTAAGCTACTGTTGTGAAATCAGTTTTACCTCTGTTCTTTTTATTCCTCGAGCATCCAGAGATGGCACCGGACTCAGTAGTCATTTTCACAAAATCTTTATTCATCTTTACTCATCTTCATTTACTCATCTTTTACTAATCTTCATTTATCTTTACTCTTCTTCATTTATCCTCATTTAAGCATGCACTTCTAGAAGGGAAGACAGAGGCCGGTGTCCCTCTCCAAATCTTCACCCCTTTGTTCGTTACAGCCAGCTTTATAGAGGCGTCCCCATCATAAAACCCCCTACGGTGTGCTGCAAATCTCTGTGTCTATGTGCACGAGCACATGAATGCCTACATGTGCGCGTTCCCACGTGTCTATGTGAGTGCTCGTGTGTGACTGTGTACGCATACCTGTGTGTATGTGTGAGTGCACATGAGTGAGTGTGCGTGTGGATGTGTGTGCGTGACAGTTAAAACACTGTGGGTGTAGGTGACTCCCTAGGTCATAAAACCCATCTCCCTTCCAGACCACAGTTATCCAGTTACAAATGTTGAGACCCCCACCCAAACATCTCTGGGG